CAACCACATCCACCATGCCATGTCTGAACACCTCCGTTCTGTTCTCACTGTCCTTTGTCTTTTTCATCCATATTTTTGGAACTCCTTTAGTCTACAGGCTAGATTTAGAGGGAATCTCTCTTGCTGAGACCTGTTCAGAGGAGGGCCCATTTGTTGAGTGAAGGCAAATCCACAGTTGCAACCTGAGTGGTGCAAATGGGTGGTGCGGAACCTTCTTGGAATTGCTGAAAGGACTGTGTTGCAGATATCTGGAGAAACCCACAACTGTGTCCTTCCTCAGTGAAACCTCAGACTCCTACACTGCTCTTCCCCTTCCTTTCTACTCTCTGGGGCAAGTTGAGAGGAAGAGGAAGATGCCTTGAAATAGAGGGAGGGATTTGGGGTGAAGAATGTCAGGCCTCTTCTCCATCATTCTTTCTTGAGACAATCTGGATTTTGATTCCCACAGTTGGCCTTGAAGGTTGCTCTCAAGCTTCCCTCAATCCTGGAGTATGACTGTTAAAAGGGACAACAGAGACCACCTAGCTGGGCATTGGGGCTGAATGGGAATTTTTCTAAAAAATAATAATTTAATTTGATTTAGGAGCACCACATAGCATAAGAAAGAAAACAACAAATACACATTAGAGAGAGAGAAAAAAGAAAAGGTAAGAATAACAGTTAGAAATGGCAAATTTGATCAACCACACAAATGTCTTTCTTGTATAGGGGCTCCAGCCACCCTTGCCCAACGCTTGGGAGAAGGGTAGGACTTGAAGGACTTCTAGATCACCATCAGAGTAAGAACCACCTGGATGTCCAGTGTCTCATGCCATGAATGCCAAGTCTCTTCCCTCTTTTTGATGAGCTCAATGAAACCACTGGGAAAGTTCATCTGCCAGGATGAGGTTGGGTGGGAGAAAGAAAAAGCAATCTCAGGAATGCAATAAAGCCCCCTTCCCAATAATGATGCTAAAATACACATAGACACCCCAATTTGGATTGATGTGCCAGAGGCAGTGGTAGGATTCAACCAGTTCTCTGAACTAATGACCAACTGGGTAGGCATGGCTGGGTCATCATGTGACTGGGTGAGCATGGCCAACTTGACATCACTCATGTCAAGGGATGCCTCGCCTCACCCGACTGCTTGCCTTGCTTCCCTAGCACTCTCTATCTTGGAGGGAGGGGTGAAGCGGGGTCGGGCGTGGTGAGGCACGCTATTCAGCCGGTTTGCCAAACTCCACAAAAAATTAACTACTGGTTCTACTGAACTGGTGAAAACTGGCTAAATCCCACTACTGGCCAGAGGTGAGTGACCTGTGAGGGATGGAGACTGTAGGGCTAGTGTGTTGGACCACAATGACGTAGTCCTTCCTTTCCCAGGAAGGAGAGAGGACATTCCACAACATGTTCATGTGTGTGTGTGTGTGTTTGTGTGTGTGTGTGTGACACACAAGAGGCAGACAAGAGGCAGCCCAACAAAATACAAGACAGAGGACGAGATTTAGGATAGCACCTCTCTGGAATCTCCCAAGATATATCTGTTAAGATGAGAGAAGGAAGGTTCTCTGTATTGTGTGTAAGCAAATACACAACTGAACCCTATCTGAATTACTCTTTGTTGTCTCAGTCTTAGCTTCACAACTAAAAGCTGTTCCCATCATCTCACAAAATACATCTCTGAGTGGCAAAAACCCTATAAAGAAGTGATATTAAAAACAGGGATGGAGCCGACATTACTTCAGTGGAACTGATGTTCCTTAAGGCAGGCCTGAACTGGGTCCCACCAGAAGTCATTCCTAAGCAGTCAGGACCCACCACATGCCTCCTTTTGCGGGATCTGATGGAAGGAACAGATTTAATTGGGAAGAAGTGGTCTCTCAAATAACATAGCACAGGGGTCCCCAACTCCTGGGCTGCAGCCCACTTCATGTGTGGTCGTGGCCTATTTCTGGCCTAATTCGGAATTGGGCCATGTGAGTGGCTGGCCAGATCGTGTGCACATGTGCAGCTCAACTTGTGAGAGCGGTGGGCTGGTGGGCTGAAATTTGTAGAGGTATGTTCTATTTTTTTTTTTTTTTTGCTTTAATTTATATGCCGCCCTTCTCCGGAGACTCAGGGCGGCTTACAATGCGTTAAGCAATAGCCTTCATACTTTTGTATATTTATACAAAGTCAGTTTATTGCCCCCACAATCTGAGTCCTCATTTTACCTACCTTAGAAAGGATGGAAGGCTGAGTCAGCCTTGAGCCTTGGTGAGATTCAAACTTGCAGTAATTGCAGGCAGCAGTTGTTAATAACAGGGCTTAGTCCACTGTACTACAGGCTCTTACTTAATTATCTTAAATAAGATAATTAAATTATCTTATTTAATTTTGAATTAGGCAAAGATTGTGCTACCTTCTAGACATTCAGGAATAGATGCCAACTCCCAGGTGCCCAAGTTTTGTTCATGGAATGGTAATGTTTGCCTTGAATGCCAGTTGATTTTTCATTTGGTCTCAAACAGTTTTGTGGCAGAGGGAAAAAGACACCACAAATCCCCCCTCCCATTCTTTCTTTCTTCTCTGGGTCTCCCTATTTTTCTCTCTCAATCCTTGATATCCACCCAACCCCCCAAGAACAATATCTCAGAGGGGTATAAATAAGTGCCTGTTCCAATCCTGGGCTACACTTTGCATGCTGCAGAGAAGATTGCAAGAAGAAAACTCTGCTGCTGGCCTTGGTGGTGGTGGGTGTTGGTTTATTTTTTGAAGTACAGATGAAAAGACCACTTATGCTCCTAATTCTTTAACTTTCTTCCCTAGCTGTTTATAATCTGTTGTTATTGTTTTTAGTGTCATTGATCCCCAAATGTAGGAGAAGAAAGGGTTAGTAATCCATGGAGTTGATTATTTTAGTAAGGTTCTCAGCCACATCTTTGATTTTTGCTCCAGGGGGACAACCTACCTCCCTAGATTAGATGTCCGGTCTATGGACTATAGTTTCTATTCCCTTGAGTACTGAATGTCCTATCACCAATATTCACCTTTCCCCCCCTGAAGGAGATCTGGGATACTTTTCTTCCTATCACAGGAATGCTGGGTTGTGCCACCTTTTTAAAAAGAAGGTGACGATTGACAATTGACGATTGCTTTTTTTAGAGGTATATATAATTTTTAATTTGATTTATATGCTGCCCTTCTCCGAAGACTCAGGGCGGCTTACAATGCGTTAAGCAATAGCCTTCATCCTTTTTTGTATATTTATACAAAGTCAGCTTATTGCCCCCACAAACTGGGTCCTCATTTCACCTACCTTAGAAAGGATGGAAGGCTGAGTCAACCTTGAGCCTGGGAGATTCGAACTTGCAGTAATTGCGGGCAACTGATGTTAATAACAGTGCTTTTAGTCTGTTGAGCTATCCAGGCTCCTATTCTTCTGGGAGAGGCTATGAAAGAGATTCTTGAGTTCCAGAGAGGTTTTATTAGAGTGGGCTAGGGGAGATAGTAGGGACTTTGCTCTTGGTTGTTGTTTTCTTCTAAAAGTGTCATGTTTCCACTGGTTCATATATAGGGACATATTTCTCTTTAGGGTCATATATAGGGTTATATTTACGGAAGGTGTTTGTTCCCTATTGTGTTTAATTTGGGTGTATTGGTTTTCTTCTTTAGGGCCATATATGGGGTCATTTTTTAAAGAAGCGGTTTGCTCCTTATTGTGTTAATTTTGATGTGGTCTTCTTGTTCAGGTCGGGGATTCTCGCTTTGTTCATTGAATTTCAGATTGGGCCTAATCTTCCTCATTCCAGCATCTCTGCCTGCTGGATCATGGAGGAAAACTTTCTAACTTGTGAAAGGAAGGTTCAGTTTTGAGGATGAGGGGGGGAAACTCAAAAAATCAACACAGCTGAATAGAATGCAAAGGTTTATTCAATCACCACACGACAGAATTGGCAGAATGAAGTTGTAGAACAAGAGAAAAAGGAAAGATGGCGAGGTGTCCAAGAAAGCAGAAGGGGGACTATGGACCCCCTTGTGGTAAAGGCCAGAAGCATCAATCATCAAGGATTTTCCATGTTGGATGAAAGAAAAGTGAAACGGATTCGTCGGTTTTAGAAGTAACTATTGCAATAGTCTGTGTTGCAACACTTCACTTCTTGATCTGGTCCTGCGATAGGGCAGGTTTCAGCACATCCTTGGATAGCCTGCATTCCTGGGAAAGAAACACAGACCAAAATTTAAAAACACCAAAGAACGGATCTGTGGCTGGTGCTAAACAAAATGGTAAACATATTTGTGCGTTCCCTCCCAGTAGGAAGGCAGACCTCTTTCCTCCTCTAGGAAATACACAGGAGTAAATGAATAAACGAGATATTTCTGGAGAAAATCCTTTGTTTTGACATGATTTGGGACAATTCCTTCTCCTTTGGATATTAATTACATGGCTTAATGTGCCAAGTCCAAAGTCGGTCAATTCCAGAAGAAACCAGCAGCTCTCCCAGATTTTTTCTCCCCCTTTCTCTAAATAAGGTTTCCCGCTCCAATCTGAGCTACTTCTGGGTCAGATGGGCCTCCCCATTCCAAGCCCCCCTTTCCTTGAGTCCTTCAACTGTCCAGCAACAGGGGGAAACCAGACGGAGCACAGGCAGGCCCTACATGTCCACCAACTCTTGGCAGCATTTGGGAGATCTAGATTCAGGAAGAAAAGCTGCGATAAATGATAAGAACTATGCTTACCCATTGTATCATTATTATTCTGCAATATGAAGCATAGGTTCTTCCCTACTTCACAGGCCTCCTTGAGATCACAAACTGTTTCATTGCATTTGTGACACTTCAAAACATATCCTGAATGAAAGAAACAAAACAGAAATCTTGGTTTGGTATTTATTTTTATGATCTTGCACTCTGATGTCCCGGTGCCTGGAGGCTGTGTGGATCTGGATGGGGAGGAACAGGCTCAGGCTCAACCCATCCAAGACTGAGTGGCTGTGGTTTCGGCATCCCGATATAGTCAGTTGACTCCATCACTGACTATTGGGGGCGAGTCCTTGACCCCCACGGAGAGGGCTCGCAATTTGGGCATCCTCCTGGATACGCAGCTGTCCTTGGAGGAACATCTGACGGCTGTAGCCAGGGGGACCTTTTATCAGGTTCGCCTGATCTGCCAGTTGTGGCCCTTCCTAGATTGGGATTCCTTGTGCACAGTCACTCATGCCCTCGTTACCTCTCGCCTGGACTACGGTAATGCTCTCTACATGGGGCTCCCCTTGAAGAGCACCCGGAGACTCCAGCTGGTCCAGAATGCGGCCGCGTGGGTAGTTATGGGAGCTGCATGGCGCTCCCACATAACACCTCTCCTGCGTGAGCTGCACTGGCTCCCAGTGGTCTTCCGGGTGCGATTCAAGGTGTTGGTTACCACCTTTAAAGCGCTCCATGGCACAGGACCCGGATACCTTCGAGACCGTCTTCTGCCACCAATAGCCTCCTACCGACCTGTGTGCTCCCACAGAGAGGGCCTCCTCAGGGTGCCATCGGCCAAGCAATGTAGACTGGTGACCCCCAGGGGGAGGGCCTTCTCTGTGGGGGCACCTACCCTCTGGAATCAGCTGCCCCCAGTGATACGAAGAATTCATGACCTCGGTGCCTTCCGCCGTGCCCTGAAGACCTTTCTTTTTCAGCAAGCCGGGCTGGCTTAACACTTTTTAAAATGTTTTTAATAGGTTTGTTATTGTTCTTTTAATTATGGGGCCAAACGTATATATATCTTTTAAACTGTATTTTAATGTTTGTATCTATGTTTTTTACTTTGGCTGTACACCGCCCTGAGTCCTTCGGGAGAAGGGCGGTATATAAATTTGATAATAAATAAATAAAAATAAATAAATTAGATGGTAGATCTTTCGGTAGTAAGGTCAGCTGTGACAATTTCCCTAGAAAGATCGAATGGTCTAGAAACAGGAAACTCTGAATTCTAGCCCCAATTTAGACAACAAAGGCAGTTGGGTGATCTTGGGCCAATCACCCAACGATGGTGAATTCTAGTCCCACTTTGGCTGTGAAAGATAGTTGGGTGACTTTGGGCCAATCACCAGGAGATATGGTGCGTTCTAGTCCCAAGTTAGACATCAAGCCAGCTGGGTGATGTCTCTCTGCCCAACCTACCTCACAGGGTTGTTGCTCTGGGAAATTAGGAGGAAGGAGGATTATGTTCCTTTGCTTCCTGGGGTCATTATAAAACTAAAAAAGTTGGGATAGAAAAAAATCATCTGTTTTGAAACAGGCCATAAAATATAAGCAAACGGCAACCTCAGAAGCTGGTCTCTTTTTGGAAGCTAAGCAGGTTGGGGCTGGTTAATTCTAGGATGGGAGACACCCGGGGCTGTCGGCTAGACTCTGCAATATCAGAAACTTCAGCTGTGACAAACAATCTAAGGTTGGTGTTGAGGAATGTGCAGGCTTGACTTGAAGGAGGCTCATTCATCCCTTTTGGCCGTACAATCAAAAATACCGAGCAACAACAACAAACCAGACAGAGGCAGATCGAGGGCTAAGAAAAGGAAACATTTTTTATTTTATTCCCAGGAGTAATTCCATAACAGAATCCACCATCAAAAGGAACATCCACTTTCAGAGGCAGTCTACCCCAGAATGCCAGCCTGGAACAAGCCGCTGTCACAGCTATGGGCTTCTCTCCAAATGGAGACCCCCCTCTTCTCTGCCAAAGGCTCCTGTGGACCCTCCTTATGGAGTGCAGAACAGGGAGAAAGTCCCACCACCAGAACGGAGCACAACTGTCTCAAATACCATACCTCCCACTGCCTCCACCCCCTTTTTTTGTTTGATTTTCACCTAAGATCAAAGCTTGGTGGCCCTACCTGAGACCAGGTACACAAATCCCACCATTACCACCAAGGACAGCAGCAGAGTTTTCATCTTGCGATCTTCAGCCTGCAAAGTGTAGCCCAGGATGGAAGCAGACACTTATTTATACCCCTCTGAGATATTGTACTTGGGGGGCTGGATATCTAGGATTAAGAGAGAAGAAAGGGGAGATTCGGGAGAAAGGGGAAGGTCAGGGGGAGGGTATTGGCCTCCCCCCCCGGACACCAAAACGGAAACTGGATCACACCACGTGAAGAACCAACTGGTTCCTGTCTTCAAGGCAAACACTACCGTTCCGTGTGCAAAGCTTGGGCACCTGGACAGTTGGCATTATTACCACATGTGGTGGTCCTGCCAGAAGGCAAAACAATTTTGGCAAACAATTAAAATACAAATAGAAGAAATTATAAATCAACAAATACAAATGAGGCTAGAAACGTTCTTACTGGGAATAATTACCGGGCCGTATGAAAAAGAAATAAGATATTTAATTATTCACATATTGACAGCAGCACAAATAGTTTTCACTCAAAACTGGAAAAACAATGACATACCATCAGAAGACAAGGTGATTAGAAAAATTATGGAATGTGCGGAAACGGATAAGCTCACAAAGGAGATACAAGAAAAAGATGAAACAGATTATTACTTAGTTTGGGATAAATGGTATAAATGGTTGGAGGAGAAAAAGGAAAAAAGATATGGAAGCAAATGAGAAGATATAAATTGTGGAAAGGAAACTAGGTTCCTGTTTATGTTAAATGTAAATAAAATAATTTAGATTAAGAGAATGCGTACATATGATGTACTAGGATTATATGTATAAGAGATAGATTAAGATAAGAAAGAGAAAATGTATAAATATAGATTACTGATGCGAAAAAAAGATGAAGAAGATGTAAAGATGGATTTTTGTTTGTTTGTGTGTTTTGTTGTTGTTTGTTCGTATTAAAAAATGTTTAATAAAAATTATTTAAAAAATAAAATAAAATGCCTTATTTTAATGCTTTCTTTAAGGAAAACATGTATATGTATGATTAATTACATATAAGAAAACGTACATTTTATATTATGTTTACAAGAAATAAAACTGAAAAACTTTTCCAAAAAAAAAGTCAACCAGTGCAGCTGCTCACACATGCACACAGATGCTCACCCACACTTCTGTGGCTTGGTTTCAAACAGGCTGCAGCCCGGCATTGGGTTGTGGACCAGGGGCTGTGGATCCCTGGACTAAAGGATTCCCACGATCCAAAAGTCAGGATAAGGAGGACAGAAAAGAGGCAGCAGGGTTGGTGAGATATGGCAGGAGGTTTTCCGAAACAAAACGACCATCAGGAACAGCGGGACAGAGAATGTTGAGAGATGCCTAAAAACATACATCAGGAGCCCTGGTGGCGCAGCAGACTAAAGCACTGTTATTAACATCAGCTGCCTGCAATTACTGCAAGTTCAAATCTCACTAGGCTCAAGGTTGACTCAGCCTTCCATCCTTTCTAAGGTAGGTAAATTGAGGACCCAGTTTGTGGGGGCAATAAGCTGACTTTGTATAAAATATACAAAAGTATGAAGGCTATTGCTTAACGCATTGTAAGCTGCCCTGAGTCTCCGGAGAAGGGCAGCATATAAATCAAATTAAAAAAAAAAATCAGTGAAAAGAAAACATCTTTTACTCAAGACATTAAAACCACAAACTGCTCACGCCTCTGTGGGGTTCAGGACAGAATGCTCTTGTCACCCACAAAATTCTCAGACTTTCTCTGCTACCAAGTTCAATGGAGCTTAAAACAGGAGCTTCGGCTGTTGATTGAAGGCAAACTTTGCACTTCTTAGACAACAATTTTTGACGGTTTTCGTTGTGCCCAAAATGAGGATGACATGCACAGAGTTGTATGATCTCTGCCCCAACTAATATTCCATTGTATCCCCGATCTCACAGTTTCGCTCCTTGCCAACTCCCTATGCATATGTTGATGCTTTGGGTTGACTGATTGGGTTGACTGATTGCCCCAAAAGTCTTCGTGTACCTCCAAATACAACAGGGCTTAAGAGAGATGTGCACCTGGCTTTGCTTATGCAAGGCAAGCATTGCACACGATGTAAAATTATTGTACTGTCCGTATTGTCCCCATTAGCGTGTCTCCAGGCATAAGCCGTGAACAGGGACGTGGCATTCTCTCATTTGGTTCCTCGTTAAAAAAACATTCACAGTTGCAACACAACCATGTTTTTTAGAGGTTTTTGGATTAGAACTTTAGAATAACATTACTGTCACTTTAAATGTATACTAATCGGCATACATTAAAATGAAATTTCATGGCATACAGCTCTAAAGGGTTACCACCTCCAAAGTACACTACATAAGCATGACAAATGAATGAATGAAGGTATCAAATTTATATTTCGCTGATAAAGAAATAAAGGGAGACTAGTATAGATCTATTTCAAGCTATTTAGCTCTCATCAGCTAGCCATACCCTTACTTGGATTCGAACTTGGGCTGCCTGCATGTTAGGCAGTTGTATTAACCTCTGAGCCACAAGTTCTCCTCCCTTCATCAGCTTGAGCCAGGGGAGAAATTAAGTGTTTTCCTATCGAGACACCTGGTCTACCCCAGCATGTGGGAGGGAGTGTACTGCATCCCTTTCGCCTTTCAGCTCCAATCCAGGAGCCCTCAAGTAGTCACATTCACACACACACACACACACACACACACACACACACACACACTGCGGGGGAGACACGCAGCCCCCCCGTGCCCTGTTTTGGGTTTAGTAGGGCTCCCTGCAGCTTCCTGGGAGTGGAAACAGGCCAATCTATTGATTCAAAGAAAATTTGCACTTATTGAAGAAACATAGCTTATTGTGATTGCAGCTTCTCTAAAAATACCTGAGGTTTCCTTAGTAGTGGTGATTGCCCTATTCAGTTCATGCAAAGCTTATTTCAATTCAATTTTATTTATTGATTAGCCCATTGGGCCATATCAAGTGCAGAATTCCAAAGACAAATCATTACAAAGGTTTGGTAAAAACAAATTAAGTGAGATTGGAATAACTCGCAATTAAAATACAATTAGAATAAAATACGATCTAAAATAAAATCGGGATAAAATACGGGATAAAATACAATCGTTTAAAATACCGTTTACATATAATTAAAATTATATTATAATGTCGCCCCTCTGTCTACCCAATCAGTGTTAACTGCTATTAAAATTACATTGTTAGATCAAGTGGTCATTCTTACAATCTACCGCATTTTGCTGCACCAACTTTGTCCTCCTTCCCATCAACTTTACCACAAATTTAGCAATCCATTTTACCAACTGCAAGTTGGAACCTAACAAACAATATCGCAAAAAGTGCTCTTTAGACTTAGGGGTGCTGGTATAAAAGATCCTGCCCAGTTGGTGTTTCCTCAGGTCTGAATATAGGGGGCAATCAAAAATTACATGGGACGTTGTTTCAACTTCCCCCGTCCTACATAGACAGACCCTTTCCCTTACAGGAATACCCTTATATCTACCCCAGAGCATATTTGTTCCAAGTTGGTCTAACCTCAATTTTGTAAAGAATCTTCTCAGGACGGGAAACAAGGGCACAGCTAAATATTTTTCTATTTTGAAAATTTGTTTATTGGCTGATAACCAGGGGCAAGCTTTTACTGCTGTCACTTGTGCAATATCCGCTTGGGCACTTATGTCCTTAAATCTCTGTGCAATCCAATTTCGGATCTGCCTGTAGTCGTACTGCTGCCAATTTAAAGGGATACCAGAGCTAGATACCTGCTTCAGAACTCTTGATAACCAGTTATTTTTGTTACTCGAGATAATCTGCTCCATTAGCACTAATTTTGGTAACCTCCCTTCCTCCATCTCGATTATTCTCAACCAATAATAAACAGTCTTCAACAAGGCCCTAGTGCCAGTCGCATGGACTCCTGTTTCTGCCCTTACTACACATGCTGGGGTTCTGGGGGACACTGCCAAAATTCTCCTCAGGAACTTATTTTGAGGGGTTTCCAGCCCAGGCAGCTTAACTGACCCCCATATTTCTGCCCCATAAGTAAGTACTGGTTCAATTTTCGCCTGGAAGACCTTTAGCACTGGAATTAATGAAGATGGAGTTTTCTCTAAAATAAGTTTGTTTAATTGAGCCATCCGAGCCATGGCCTTCCGAGCTTCGGCTTTTACCTGCTTATTCCATTTGCCATTTGTCTGAAATTCTAGCCCTAAATAGGTAAATGACTGAACTTGTTCTATTCTTCTATCATTTAAAACCCTTATATTTTGTTGCCTGCTAAATATCATTACCTTTGATTTCTCTATATTAATTGTCAGGCGATTTTTTTATACAATATGCTGCCAACCTCCCAAGTGACCTTCGTAGCCCCACCTGTGAGGCCGACAACAAAATTATATCATCGGCATATAACAAGCAATTGACCTGTCTTGTTCCTATACTAGGCCCATGGAGTGATGTATCTTCCAGACATTTTGGGAGGTCATTTAAGTATAGGTTAAAAAGTGTTGGGGCTAAAATGCAACCTTGTCTGACGCCCTTTTTTAGTAGGATTGCATTTGTTACCAATCCTGACCTATTCACTCGAACTCTTACTTGGGTATCCGTGTATAACAGTCGAATTAAATATAACAATTTCTTTTCTATTCCCATGGCCTCTAATTTATCCCATAAAATTTTTCTATCAATTGTGTCGAAGGCTGCCTTCAAATCTATGAATGCCACATACAGGGATTTTTTCCAAGACTTAAACTTTGTTATTAGATGGTCCAGCACAAAACAATTATCCATTCAAACCTTAGCTTGAAAACTGATGCAATTTGCAAGACCTTCGAAGTAGTATTTTCAGTCTCTTTCTGGATATACCTCCAAGTATAACTCAGCTTAAGAGAGATGTGTACTTTTCTCAACGGATTAAATGTACCGTGAGCAAAAACCTTTCACTTCCTTTATGCAACTGTGCTATGCCCAGAGGCATAACTGAGAAGAACAGAGAAGTGGCATCTCTCTATTGCTTCAATGGAAAATTTCACAGCGTATTTTAGCTCGGAATGGGACAAAGTGCCACGGCCAATTCACAGCTTTTGGACAAACCAAACTGCACCATGGCCCACTCATCATGGCCAACTCACCATGGAACAACTCACTGCAGGACAATTCAACAATTCACTTTAATTATTTAAAATC